GGGGGGCAAGGTGTTCTGGGTGCCCCTGCATAGGAGTGCCGGAATCAGTGTGCCAAAGAGGTAGACTGTGTTAGAGCCCAGATGACACCAGTCAGAAAGTTCAGGCTCTTGAAGGGGTGACTTATGGGAAACTTCCTTTCTGAGCAACAGCTGCTGCTTTCCCTCCCACGCCTCGTCTGCCTGCCTAGACGGGACTTACAGCAGGACAGACGCCGGCTGCACCCTCCCTGGGCCCAGCCTCTGGCCCGAAGAGGCCCTGCAGACTGGTGGACAGTGTCTGGGTTGTCGGGGACCCCACCCCAGCTCGGAGCGCTTCCTGTGCTTTTGACACAGGTCTCCTCACCGTCCTGGGCTTGCCTGTGACGTGGCGAGGGGAGCGGCCTCTCTCTCCGCGGAGACTCTGACACTGATTCCGCTGGGAGGCCTGCCCCTGATGCCAGCAATTTGGAGGGAGGCCCATTGTGACATCCAGTTTAGAAAAGGGGAACCAGGAACTTCTGAGCTCCCACGAGGTTCCTGGAACTCTCTTTTCTGAGATCTGGTTTCCTGCTCTCTAAAGTGGGGGCAGTATTATTCACTTCTCTAGGGGGCCTAGAACAAGACATTCATTCATTCATTCATTCATTCAACAAATGTCTTATGCCAGGCCCAGTGCTCAGTGTTAGGGACACAGCAGTGAACATCACAGACATGGGCCTGCCCTCAGGGAGCTCACAGTCTGGGGAGCAGCCATTAGTCACGTAGGATGTGCAAAGAGGGGTAGGAAGATGGCCCATGGGGTGCAGGGCCTTGGTGGTCGGATATTTGATTCCATGTGCACCAGGAGGGGCGATGTGTAATCCCATTTACATGGGGACATGCTCTCTCTGGCTGCAGAGGGAAGGAGAGCAGACAGAGGGGAGAGCTGGCAGGAGAGGTGGGGGACCCCTTGCCTCCCTTTGTACCTCTTCTCCTGAGGTCTTTCTGGAGCCCGGACTCTAGTCTCCGGGCACAGGAGTATTGCCGCTCAGGCGGGCTCTGTAGGAATGGGGAAGTGCCACGCCCAGGGAGGGAGACTGCTGATACCCAGGAGTGTGTGAATATTATCTCCCTGCCGGGGAGATTGCTCAGAGCCAGTGAGTGCTGGGAGAAGGACCCGGCGTCTGGGCAGCCGTCCAGAGATACCGGGGCCACTCCCAGCCCCTCCCGAGCTTGCCGGGGGCCTCAGATAGGTCACTTAGCCCCCTGTGCCTTAGTTTCCCCATCTGGTACCTCTGAGTCTGCGTAAACTTCAAATCTAGGCAGCACTTCATCATGGAAAGAGCTCAGGCTTTGGGGTCAGACAGCTTAGGCTCGAGTCCTGGCTCTGCCACGGATGAGGCGGTGTGGCCCGAGGCTGGCTGCTCTGCTCCTGGAAGCCTGCTGCTGCTGGGGCCATGCTTGGAGAACCCTCGAATAACATGCTTCAGAGAAGTGGGCCTCTGCTCTGCTCAGTGCTGTGCCCCAAACTGCAGGCATACAGCAAGCAGATCCCTGGTGAGTGCTCATGAATGAATGCACTCAGGGCAGGAGGGGTGGAGGGTGGCTGGGTGGTGGCAGGAAGCGGTCAGGGACCAAATCATGAAGGGCCTCCAGTGACAGGCGAAGGAGCTGGGACTTGCAGTAGCTGAACACCCCCTCCACCCCCACAGGTCCACACCCTGCAAAAAGGGGCTCTGTGATCTGATTGGGTAAGGAGTTTAGGGTGGGAGGGTACCCTGGATTATTTCGGGGCTCTGAGTGTGGCCACAGGTGCCCTATTGTAAGAGGGAGGTGGGGGGAGTCTGGCTACAGAGAAGGTGTGAGGGTGGAGGCAAGAGGTTGGGGGCATGGGAGGAAGGGGCCACGAGCCAGGGCATGTGGTGGCCCCCAGAGGCTGGGAAAGACAAAGAAACAGATCTGCATGGGAGCCTCCAGGAGGAGCCAGCCCTGCCACCACCCTGATCTCAGGCCCTAGGCCTCCTGAACTGTAAGAGAACGAATTCCTGTGTTTTCCGCCACCAGGTTCACGGTCATTAGTTACAGCAGCCCTCAGAAGCTAACAGCCTGTACTAGTAGAAGCGAGGTTCTGAGCAGGGGAGAGGCTGGGGCTGGGGAGCAGAGAGGAGGCAGGCGAGGCTGTCCAGGGCGGAGGGGAGAGTGGGTGGAGGCCAGCTGGGGTCGGGAAGGGGCAGACAGAGCATCCTGCTGGGAGGTGGCTGGCTGGCTACAAGCAAGCTGGGCCTCTCTCTCCTGAGTCTCCCCTCGGCTGACCCTGCCGCCGCCCCAAGGGCAGGCCCAGATCAGTCCCTTGGAATTCTTGCTTCAGCAGACAGCCCCACCCCCTTAGAAGCTATAAGGGTTCTCAATCAGGTCAACACTGGGTTTTGTCCGTAGACGGACACCAGGAAGGACATGCTGTCGGCACCAGGGAAGCTGGGAGCTGACCTTCTGGAGGGTCATTCAAGGCCCTGATTGTCCTGGCAGCCTTGGTGGGAAAATCTATTCTTGGCCTCCCCCAACCTCTTACCTGGTTCCCCATCCTCCCCATGCCTCCCCACCAGACCCCTCCGCCAGTCACTGCTTCCCCAGGGTGTTCCCTAGCCGCTCTGTGTGACTCAGGCAGGCGCGGCCTCTCAGCTGGCCTCGGTGCCCTCCTAGCCCCCCGCCCACGGTGGCCAGGAGGATCAGAAGAGCAGGTGGGCACTCACACCTCACAGTGTGCCCGCACCCACAGGACTGTCTGGAATGGGGGCAGCTGTTTCTGTTGATGCTCAGGCCTTGGCTTTGGCTAACCCACTAGCTGGTGTCACTGGGCAATTTAATTAACTTCTGAGACTCAGTTTTCCCATCTGTAAAGTGGAGACTAAACAAGCACCTACTCATGGGGTCGTGGGAGAATGAAACGAGGCCACGAGTCTGAAGGGTGCACCACCCTGGATGGGCGGGTCTTTCCCGTCTGCGTTCAGGCTCAGCTCACTGGCCCGCTCCCTGGGACGGGCTGCCTGGGCCGCCTGCCGCGCTCAGCACCCTGTGTTTCGATCCTTGGCACGTGCTGCACGAACCCGGCCAGTCTGCTCCTCGGCTACACCCCGAGCAGCTACAGGCGGCGCGAGTGGCGGCGTGGGGTGGGGATCTTGCCTTATCTCCCTTGGCACCCTTAGCTGGGGACCGAAGGACCACACATAGAAACAATGGCAAGATTGTAAGGCCGGCAGCCAGTGGTGTCCAGTGAGTGCCAGTTCTTCTGAAGTGCTCGCTGAACGTTTCCGTAAGGATTAGGGATAGAGCAGCCTATGCGCCCGGAGGGCACACAGGTCTGATCAGGAGGGAATGGGGTGCACGACCTGACTGAATCACGGCGGCGCCTTCCCAAGAGTCCGCACCCCCCGCTTTGTTCTTTGTTTAATTCTTGAACTAAATCAACTTTTCACTCAGGCTGCTTCCTGAATGAGGGAGTGTGGCAGGACACGGACGGGCATGAAGGCTCCGCATCTGCATGATGGAGCGGCACCCGCAGACGGCTTGGAGGATGGCTTTGAGAGGGAGAGTCTAGAGGCCGGGAGGCTGGGAGGAAGCTGGGTGCAGCAGATTAGCAGTGAATGGGGTGGAGGCTGCAAGGGCCAGAGGGGACCTGGGGCCCAGGGGTCTGGTTGGACAGTCCTCCCCCAACAACGATGCACAGAGACCAGATCCCAGAGGGTGTCGGTCTGCGGTGCCCAGCCACGCTTTCCTTGAGACAGACACAGTGCTCAAGAATGAACTTGCATCCATGGCCGTCCCAGCGCCCGATGGCCTCCCCTAACTCACACATGCTTCGGGCAGCTCTGGGAGGTGAGCAGGGCGGTGCATGAGGACAGGCCCTACACTCTGTAAGAGGAGACTGAGGCCGGGACTTGCTCCAGCTAGGGTGGGTGAGCCAGAGCTGGGAGAGGCCCAAGCCTCATCCCTGTGCTCAGCATAGTTCTCAGCCTGCGGCGGGAAGCTGATAAATGTTTGTGGGTGAATGAATGGGTCAGTAACGGGACTGGCATTCTGGGGGCAGAGGCATGGTCCGCAGAGGAGAAAGGAAAGCATCTGTGTGGCAGGTGTTCTCCCCTCCCTGTCACTCAATCCTCTCACAGCCCCCCCACACCTCCCTCTCCACACAGCGCGTCTCCGTGCCGCTCAAGCCTCTGGTGCCGCTTCCCATTTAACACCTGCTTTGCCTTGGTCACCCGTGGATTTGTCTAAGTCTCATTCTGATCCTGTTTATCTTTTAAGCCTGGAGTCTCCTTGGGGACGGATCCTGGGACATCCTTCCTCGTAAATCTGCACCCCGTGCACCCAGCGTCCCCAAGCCCATTTTCTCATGGCCGCCTAGATTCTGCACGGTTCTCTTCTCCTCCCTCACAGACCAGGGACGCAGCCCCTGTACTGCTGGCCCGGCTCATCCTTCTCGCCCACATCTGAGGGGACAGCCAGAGCCTCTTTCAGAGCACACAGAGCTGCCCCCTGCTCCTAAGCCGTCCGTGCTCCCCTAAGACCTCTGGTACAGAGTCCCGGCCCCTGCCTTCCCAGCTGGGCCAGTCCTCTGTCTCCTCTGACTTGAGTGCCCCCAGCGTAAGAGCTGATGCATAACAGGTCAGTGGAGCAGCTGGGGCCCCCTGACGGCTGCGTGCAGCATGGGAGTGAGCACTTACAACAGCTAGGTCCGTGGTAGGGTTGGGCCTTAACCTGAGGACTGCTGATTGTCAGGACAATGTGGCTGGAACAAAGGGCCCACAAGCTCTGGAGCTGGGGGCCTCTGTCCAGGTCCCAGCCATGTGGCGCTGGCCAAGTTGTGGTCCTTTTAAAGTGGAGGTGAAAAGTTTCACCTCCATGGGCATGCTAGCACAGCCCAAGGTTTGTGCAGTCCTCATGAAGAGGGCCAGCACCTTGGGAGCAGTGGCCACCGTGATGGTTACCACCAGTGGGACCTCTCCATGTGCCCCTGTCCCGGACAGAGGAAGCCAGGGCGGTACCTGTCTGTGGCTCCCCGGGGTGCCATGACCTCTCTGCCACTCCACACCTGCAGCTTCAGGGGCTTCTCTTCCTGCTGTCGGGGTCCCTGGCTCCGAGTCCGGGGGAGCCGAGAGCTGTCGTACCTCAGAGAGGCGTCGTGGGCATTGCAGCTGGCATACCGACAGCGCAGGAGCTGCTGGTACGCCGTGCGGAAGTCCCTGTTCAGTGCGGCGTACAGGATGGGGTTCAGGGCCGAGTTGGCGTAGCCCAGCCACAGAACAACAGCTTCGAAGGTCTTGTTGACGGCGTCATCCCCTCTCAGCCCCCGGTAGACAAACACGGTGAAGTAGGGGAACCAGCAGACGATGAAGGCCCCCATCACGGTGGCCAGCGTCACCGTGGCTTTGTGTTCCCTGACGGTGGCCGCCTTCCAGGAGCCGACGTGATGGATCCTCTTGGCCTGCTCCCGGGCGATCTTGAAGATGCGGAAGTAGGTGATGCACATGACCAGCAGAGGCACGTAGAAGGTGACCAGCCCGTCCACCAAGCCGTACACCAAGTTGACCTGGACTTTGCAGGGCTGGATGGTGTGGTTGACCGCGCTGGTCTCGTCCCTGCTGTTCCAGCCCAGGTGGATAGACAAAAAGGACAGGGTGATGGAGACGGCCCAAATCAAGACCAGGGAGACGCCGACCCGGACCGGGGTGATGAGCACGGGGTAGCGCAGGGGGTCCGTGACGGCGCAGTACCGGTCGAGGCTGATCATGAAGAGGTTGAGGATGGAGGCCGTGCAGAGCATCACGTCCAGGCTGGTGTAGATGTTGCAGAAGACCTTGCCGAAGCTCCACCTGCAGGAGAGCTGGTAGAAAGCCGAGAAGGGCATCACCAGCAGGCCGAGGAGCAGGTCGGTGATGGCCAGGGACACGATGAAGCAGTTGGTCAGGCTGCGCAGCTGGCGGCTCAGGCCCACGGCCAGGCAGACAACCACGTTGCCGGCAATAGTGACGAGAATGAGGACGGTGAGTGCCACACTGACGGTGACCTTGAACGCGGCAGAGTCCAGGCAAGAGGAAGCGGCCGTGTCGTTGGCCTCCATCCTGGGACCCCGAGCTCCTTCCTCAGCCACAGCCCCTAGCTGCTTCTCTTCCAGCTCCCCAATGTGCCAGTTTTGTCAGCCACTGGGCTCCAGGCTGCCCCACAGAGACGAAAGGGAGTATCCAGTTGTGGCAGGCCACAGTAATCAACTCAGTGCTTTTTCTAGAAATAAATAAAGTCAGTCTCCTAGGAGGTGTTGGGCAAGAGCATGAGCATGAACAGAGAGGAGGCAAAGCTGGTGGTTCAAACTCCAGTCCTCAGCTTGCCCCTTCAGAGCTGGCTCCCTCCTGGGCCTGGAGCAGGCCTCGTCTCTCCAGGTTCTGCATAGAGACAGGCACTGGGGCATGTGTCTGGAGGTGGCTTAGGTTTTATGAAGGAGGGATCATGTGGACAGGTGGCCGCATCCTTCTCCATAGCTGACAGCCGCTCCCATCCACAAGGCCGGGGTCACGGCTGCTGCATCTCCCTCTTGGGACCACTGGAGAGCGGGAGCTGAAAATGCAAAGGCCGGGTGTTGAGCGCTTTGAAACCAGACCAAGAGCGTGACCTGATTCAGGATGAATCTTCTCGACCTTGACCTCCCTGCACGGCACCAGGAGGCCTGGGGCCAGTCTAGATGCCCTTCTTTGGAGGCACTGAGGCAATCAGAATGCGCCGTGGGAGGAGGAGGGGAGTCAGGATGCAAGGGGCTGCACCATGTGTCACCGCTGAGACAAACAGGGAGGAAGAAAGATCTAGACGCAGACTCCAACCTCCGAGAGACGGGCTGCGTCGACCTGTTCAGTGCTGGTTCCCCACGCCTGGCCCCGCAGCTGGGCATTGGAGTCTGGTGGACAAATCACAGAGTGAATGAGTGAGCAAATGCCACAAACTCACGCTGACACCGGGCCGAGGACAGCGCTCACGGCTGCTGGTTTACAGCGTCGCCGCGCCCTGAGCCAGGGGCCACGAACTGTGTCAGGAAAACATTGTCTGCTCTGCAGCCCGCACCGTCGGTCTGTGTCACCTCTGGTGCCGTGGAAGGAAAGTCAGCTGCACAGACGACGGGCACACGAGGAAGCGCGCTGGGCTCCAGGGAGACCTGACCTCGGACCCTCGCATTTGAGTCTCTCATACGTTTCACAGGTCACACAGTATTTTCCTTATATTTCCTCCAGCTCTTTACAACCATTTCCGAACAATCAACAAACGTGGAGGCTATTCTTAGTTCCTGGGTGGCACGATCCAGGCAGAGGGCCAGACTGACTGCTGGCATAGTGGGCTCACTGTGCCCCACCCACCACCTGCTCTAAACATCTCCCTAGTTTTTACTTATTTGGCAACACATGTCCCACATCCAGGTCAGCTGATACAGAATTCACAAAATCTTTCTAATGGCCGCATAACAGTCCAGGGGCCAGGTGTGTGTGGGGGGTGGCTGGCCACAGTTTATTCTGTCATCCCCCATCATGGGTATTTGGGTAGTTTCCCATCCGTCCCTCCCCCCTCCCCCCTGTCCCACTGCAAACACCACTTCCGTGGGGCTGAACACAGTGCCTCTGGGGGAAATTTCAGCGATTCCCTCCTGGCGGTGATATCCTGCAGTCCCGATGGATGCAGGAGAAGCTCGGCCCTGCTTGGTTCCTGGACCCTTTCACAGGGGTACTCCTGGTTCCCAGCCCCGACCGGCCCCTGGGACCTGGGAGTGTGCAGAAATCCAGGCGGCAGCAGAACCTCTCGGCAGCACTCTCACCTCCCCGTGACATAGCAAGCCTCTCCCGGGCTCTAGCCTGCAGTGTTCTGCACTCTGGACGGGAGAAGCGTCATTTAATCGTAACCGCGGCGTTGGCGCGGGCCCACGGCTCCTGGTCGCCTCCTGCTGCTCCAGCTGGCTCAGCTGCCAGGCCTCCCGAGCTGTGCCTCTGGGTATTATTTTTGGAAGATCCTTTCATTACATAAAAAGCACAGACACCCGCTCGCACTGCCGCGCTCAGTTAACTTCGGAGATGGCGGCAGCAAGGGCATTGCTTTGAGAATCCTTATTTCTGATCAGAGTATTCTCTGAGCTTCCTTAACAGCCTGGTATAGGCATTTCGGCATTGAACCGGCGTTTTAGTTCATGTTTGGGGGTTTTCCAAACCGAATGAACCAGCGTCTCATATAATTAGAAATTCATTGCCCCCGCCCTTCCCCCTCCTTCCTTCTTTCCCTCCTCCCCTCTCTCCTATTCAGCTCACAGTTCTCTCAGAGCCTTCAGTGTGCCAAGTGCTGGCTGCAGGTGCTGGAGGCCCAGTGCCGACAGAACAGCAGTGGTTCCTTTTTCCAATGAGAACCACACCTATTAAGTTTCTTTTTTTTTTTTTTTTAAATATATTTTATTGATTTTTTACAGAGGAAGGGAGAGAGATAGAGAGTCAGAAACATCGATGAGAGAGAAACATCGATCAGCTGCCTCCTGCACATCCCCATTGGGGATGTGCCCGCAACCCAGGTACATGCCCTTGACCGGAATCGAACCCAGGACCCTTCAGTCCACAGGCTGACGCTCTATCCACTGAGCCAAACCGGTTTCGGCGACACCTGTTAAGTTTCTATTCTCCAGCCCAGGTACCTGGAGTTCCTAGTGACCTTCTGAATGGAGCACTATCCATTCCATACCTGTAGGTCCTGAGAGGTCCATGGCACCCCCAAGTTCATCATCATGTCTGCCTGATGCCCCAATGACCCTCTCACTGCTTCTCACCCACAAAATCCCAGAAGAAATGCCACCCAAGGAATATTGTCTGCCAACTGGAGGGGCGAGGCCACTTAGACAAGAACCAGTTTGGGGGCTCCTCCCCCTCAAAGTTCACCCAACCGAGTCCAGCCTCTCCTTCCCTCCTCACTGGGAGGTGAATGAAGTTCCCTCTCGGGTTGTAAGTGCCTCCCCAGGCCCCGTCCTCAGGGAGCTGGCAACAGTGCAGCAGCCAGCAAGTCGGGGGAAGCAGTTCTGGCTCCTTTGATTGGGGTTCTCACGCAGCCTGGAAGATGAGTCTGATTTTCTAGGAAGAGCTTACAGCAGGAAGAGAAACAGTGTTCATCAGGCAACGCTGCACGAGGCCCCTCCGGGCGAGCAGCGGGTGGTCTGAGAAATAGGGGACTGGATCCATGTTCTGCAAAAACTGATGCTGAGAGAAGTGAGGGGAGCCCCAGGGGCTGAAAACAAGGACTTGGGCATTGGCCGGATCTGGGTTCTAACTCCGGTGCTGTCACTAGCAGCACGTGACCTTGGGGTGTTACTACACGCTCTCTGAGCCTCAGTTTCCTCATTTGTAAAGTGGGAGTGATACTCTGTCTTCCTTCACTTGGTGGCTGTGAAATAAATGCAGAGTAAAGGTATGAACACCAGCACCTGGCACGTGGCAGGTCACATTACTTATGGTAGCGTTATATAGCCATTACAGATGGTCCCCAGCTTACGATCTTTCAACTGTAAAGAGAGTTGGAAAGCAACGTACGCATTTGGTAGAAATCATTCTTCGAATTTTGAATTTTGACCTGTTCCTGGTTAGCGGCGAACCAGGTGCCTCTCCCTCCTGGTGCCGACAGGGCCAGCTCCCTGATCAGGAGGGTGGGAAACCACCAACGCCCTCCATTGCAGTAGCAACTGCACTTTCGAGCTGCAATGTTTTCAACTTCATGGTTTATTGGGCTGTCGCTCCATCATAAGTCAGGAGCAGCAGTATCTTATAACAATAAAAACGCTAGTTTTGTTCTTGTCTGAAGCCACACTCCAGCTTTGTTGAGTGCCTTCCGCGTGCAGACACTGCTGGGCTCTGGGGTCACAGGGTGAGTGCGGCAGACATGCCCTGGCTCCTCTTGGGGGGCGGGGGGAGACAGGCGCACTGCGGCGACACTCATTCACTTCAGCTGTATGGAGGTATATAAAGGGGACGCACAGCAGTATGCAATGGGGGGCCGGACCTGGTCTGGGGGATACCGAGACTTCCCGAGGAGCGGATACATGAGAGGAAGGAGGTAACTCAGGGAAGATGGGGATAAGCAGGCTCCAGACAGGAGCCTGTGGAAGTGTGGAGGCGGAGATGGTGTGGTTTAGGGCGTGTGTGGGAGCGGCTGGAGGACGATGTGACTGGAAGGCAGGAAGGGGCTCCCAGGCCCTGCTCACCTGCTGTGTATCAGGGGTAGGGGTGGCAGTTGGGGGTAGGCCTGAGCCAGCCCTGCTGACCACCCCCAGGACTACAGGTCCCTGCGTTCCAGGGGAGGTAGCTCCTCTTCTACATGAGCCATAACTTCTCAGCACTTTGCCCCGTCATCGGCCATGTCACCTGTTCCGGCGACCTGGGGCTGAGGCATCAGAGTCCCGGCAGCAGCCCTGTCGGGAAGCTCAGCCGGGTCCCGGACAGGGGGACCTCTGTCATCGGGGTACCGTGTGCATTTAGCTTTTCCTGCAGAGCAAGAAACCACCTGCCGGGCGTTTCAAAGCAATGGCGGGACTCTCTGTGCACGTGCAGCACCGGGCACTTCCTCCTTCGCAATATCGGCAGGTCTTTCATCTCTGTGGTTACAGATTTGTGCCTCCTTCCTCGCAGTGGGCTAGACGTTTGGTAAAAGCCTTGCAACACAGTAAAGGACTTCCAGTCGAGGCCGCTCGTGAGAGAGAGAGGCCCGGGCTCCCGGTGGTCCGAGCTGGGGACCCTGGGTCCTCAGGCTGAGGATGAGGGCATCATCCTTGACTCCCGTCCTGTCCTCAGCAAGGCCCGTGGCTCCTGCCTCTGGAATGTGTCTGTCTTGGCCACTGCCAGCACCCTGTTCCTGCTCCAAAGCAGCACCGCCTCTTGCCTGGGCCTCTGTGAGCTCTCCATTGGCCTCCCTGCTCTCTGCCACCACCAGTGCCCGGCCGCTTCTGCCCTGCACATGCTGCCCGGCTCCACCTTCCCCTTGGCTCACAGGCCCCTCTGACCTCCGACTTTACCCCCAGCCTTAGTGGGCGCTTGGCCACACCCGCCTCGCTCCTGCACGGTGGCCTGAGGTCGGCCGCTGACCTGGACGTGCGTATCGTGAATAGACATCAGTTCTCCCTCACCCCCAGAATGCGACCACCCCCATCACTTTCCTCGAAGCACTGGCCCCTCTGTGGAGCACGTTCTCCTGGCCTTTTCCTTGCTCCCTGTCCGCTCACTATTCTCCTCTCCCCATGGAATGTGGGTGTCCGGAGGGCCAGCTCCGCCCTGACAGGCACTGCGTAGGGGCTCAGTTAATACCAGTACTTGCTGCGTTGACTAAGTGCACATCGGAAACTACCATCGGAATATACTGTTCCATCTGTCAGGCACTTTGAAAGTACTTTAATCTGTGCAACAGCCCTGTTACGTGGGCACCATTAGTCATCTCCATTTCGTAGCTGAGGAAATGGAGGTTTATGGTACTTTGTGACTTGGCCAAAGTCCACTGCCAGCACCTATGGGAAAGGCTGGGTGGGAGTTTCCAGGGCAGGGTTGACTGGGCCACGTGAAAATGCTGCCCTGGTTCTTCTGGGGAGGTGAGAGCCAGCTGCCAATGTTTGCTGCGAGGCCCAAATCTCTGCCACCCGGGGGCCGAACCGCTCGGGGGGCAGGGGCCGGTGGGAAGGGCACTGTGCTGGGGACCGGGGCCGGATTGGGGTCCCTCGTGTGACTCTGAGGTGTTGTATTACCTCTAACAAGTTCTGTGCCCCCAGTTTCCTCAGCAGCAAGGTGAGGAGATGAGCTTAGACCAGTGATGGCGAACCTATGACACGCGTGTCAGAGGTGACACGCGAACTCATTTTTTTGGTTGATTTTTCTTTGTTAAATGGCATTTAAAGATATA